TGAAAACAGAATCTTTATTCATCGGCACATGACCAGCACCAGAACAATTTCCACGACCTTCACGTCATGGGAACCTATTACAACAGCAATTCCAATGGAGTAACACAATGGTGACGACTAACAGCCTTCCAGTCACAGTTACCCCGAGGCTTGTTCATGAAGAGTCATGATAACAGTGGTGAATCTGTGCGTACCTGTTCTGATAAAGCGTAGACGGACAGCCTCCCTTCAGCCCTCGGCTGAGACTGGTAAAATAATGGAGCTCCGACCAGCAGGAAATCTGAGTCTCCATCAGAGTCCACATCCAACAGACTCAGAGACGCTCCGAAATATGAGCCAATCTGATGACAGAAATCAATAAAAATTAATGGAACTGCATTCTAGCACATGCTTTTATAGCCTGATGTTCACAGATGAAATATGAAAACAACACGTTCTGCTTCACAAACACAATGACACCCAATACTGACTAGAAATTAATGAGGTCTTTGTAGACTTATTTTGCTCCTTTTCTCTTTTGGATATGGCATTTCAGAGTCTATATTGTGAGTAGAATGCTTGTTTGTTTTTGGTGAAATACTGAATCTCATGACAGTGTTTGTGTTTGAAGGGTCTGCTGATCTTCTCAGTGGACTGTAGGTTTGGGAGCCCCTGGTATCACCGGAGGAGAGAGATAATATTGTGTCTGAGTGTTTCTCACTGACTTGTTCTCCGTTGATGTTGCTCATCACTGTCCATGTGTTTTGGTTCTTGGTGAAGAGGGTCACCAGACCCGTGTGTTCGGCCCGCGGCGCCCCAGAGAACAGAAGAGAGACGCCGCGTCTCATTCCCAGCACAGTAGAGTAACCTGAACACCATCAGCGTCATTAAAACACACACAAACTCTTCACATCACACAAGAACAAACACTCCAACATACCCATGTACGAGTCTTTATTTACAGCTGGATCGATGATCTCTGTCTCTCTGAATTCAGATCCTGATCCCATCACTTCATACAGAGCTCCACGCCAGTCATTCGATCCAACTGAACCCACGATCACAGAGTCCTGCAACAAACACTGCAGTCTCAGCATTGCTTTATTAGACACAGTAATGGAGAGCAGTAAAAACTGCCCTGCAGATCAGCTGAGAAACAGCTGGCAGTGACATTGAATCTTTGAAAGATGTTCAGAGTTTTTGATGTTTAGCAGCAAATAAACCAGATCAGTGGTACTCTGGTTTTATTTCAGGACCCAGGTTTTACATCAAGTGGCAACCCAGCATTGATAATTGGATTGTATCATAAACAAAATGTCCTTCATTAAACAATTAAATTAATTCATGTTACCATGAACTGTGTCTAAACATCAGCAGCATTTCACTAGATTTTGAGAGGGGAAGATTTTCAAATGACTTCAGAAGACTTGGAATATATCACACAAACAACATAAACAAATTTTAAGGAATTACATGGTTCCCTTTCATGGGAACTTCGAACTGCGTCCTCTAGGCGTCGCT